GCGCTCAACTTTCAGCGACGCTACATCGCCTGCTCTCCGTTTATCCTAGGCGTACCCTGCGACGACGGCATCCGCCTCGGAGCGTGGCCGAAGCGTGTGGCCGGAGGACCCGGGAGTTCCTAAGAGATGGTGAGTAGGAGTTGGGTTTTGGTGAATATGCCTCTAAGATTGTGCACTTATATTTGGTTTTCTTTATCATAGGTGATGATACTTGTCTGAGACAACAGCCCGGTGAGAGAAGAAGTTCCCAGACAGCGAGGTGGCTTTGTTTGGCTCCCGACCGGCCTCTCGCCGTGACTCACATCTTCAGCCCTCTGAGAGATAAGTGGAGCCCACAGAGGGGATCAAAGCAGGGCGGTGGGTCAGGACTGAGATCGGTTTGGGTTTTTGAGTGAGCTTTGGGGATGGGGAGGTTCTGGAAATGACCCCATAGGCCCCAGTGAGGGAAAGCCTCACTTTGGTATGCAATGCTGAGGCAGGCAGGGCAGAGCAGTCCCAGGGTGTGTTGTCACTTGTCTCTCGTGCCTTCTGTGTCTTATGTGCATCTTGTGTAACATCTCTATTGCCTTAGTCCTCCCAGGGGTATATGAGAAACCCTGGGGTCCTTCCGTTCATCTCCCATCTTTGCGTTCCTCGGCCCGGCGCCGGCGAAGCTTCGATGCGGGAGGTCGGACAGGCGTCAGAATTGCATCTGTCTTTAGAAGCATGTGATCGGATGTTTTCTTAGGTCTCGTTCTCAGCTGTGTCAACAGCTATATGCAGCAGTGTTTCTTTACAGTGGATAAGGACTTGTGCCGATTCAAAGGCAGGCAGAGGCTTCTAGCCACAGGATTCTCGGGCATCCGTCTTTGCGGTTCTTGGAAAATAGTTGTTCCATTAGCATCTTTTTCCTCCGGGGTCACTGGAGCTCGGCAGGCTCGCCTCGGGTCCCTCCTCGGTCATCTCGTTCAGCATTCTCTCGGTCCTCATGAGGACTTTCTTGTCTCAGAGAGTTTTCTCTCCTTGTCATGTCCCCTTGTCTCACGTGTCATGGGTGTCTGGTGGTATTTGGTCCGGAGCTGCTCTGCCCTGGCGCCCAGCCCGGTTGTAGGTGTTTAAGGACAAGTCCCGGGCACTTGTAATTGGAGATTTGTAATATGGGCTGTAGTTGGAGTCTAGCTGGTATTCTTATGTTGGCAGCAGGTGTCTGGAGCTGTGAAGTTACCCTGCAGCACTTTGACTTTTTTCCTATATTTCTTTCAGATGCAGATAGATTGACCTGGCAGAACACCTGTCCCAGATGAGGGGGTCCCCCTGAGAAGGTCGGTCACGGTTTTACTTTGCAGCGGGGCTGGAACCGGTCACTGTGTTACAGCTCTGCTCTTTGTCTTTATTTCTAGGAAGTAAAGCCGGATAGCAGCGGGGAAGGCGAAGCAGGTGGAAGGTGAGCCTCGGTTGGTGGAGAGAAGCAGTTGTTCTTGCTGGGGTCTCAGTTTCTGCTATAACTTTAATCCCTTGGGTTTTTTTTATTTTAGGTGGTCTACTTGCAAGATATCCCAGCCCAGGATGCTGGAGGACAGGTGGGTGCAAGCTCTGTGTGTGTTTTGGTGTTTATGTCCTTGGTTTGCTGCTAATCTTTAGTTCTTGAAGATAGAATGAAAGAACCACATCACAAATCCCACCTTGTGGATCCTGACACACATTGGTGTCACGGACAGGATTCTGAGAGACAGAAGGGGTTGCAGGTTTATCGTGCAGTCAGTATCAGGGGAAAGACGTTTCGCCTCAGCCGCCCCTAGCCTGCCACGTCGGTGAGCAGTGTCTAGAAAGCAAGGGAGGTGACTCGAATTTGTTAAAAACAGCACATGCCTCAGGGCAAAGCACCCCACACTCGTTTGAGGGCTCTGTCTTCAGAACTTTACAGGGGATCTTTGAGTATGAGAAGTGGGACTGAGTGGTTTTTCTGTTTAAAGTCCCTGGTTTGCTGCTAATCTTTAGTTCTCTAAGATAGAAGGAAAGAACCACATCACAAATCCCACCTTGTGGATCCTGACACGAATCGGTGTCACGGACAGGATTCTGAGAGACAGAAGGGGTTGCAGGTTTATCGTGCAGTCATTATCAGGGGAAAGACGTTTCGCCTCAGCCGCCCCTAGCCTGCCACGTCGGTGAGCAGTGTCTAGAAAGCAAGGGAGGTGACTCGAATTTGTTAAAAACAGCACATGCCTCAGGGCAAAGCACCCCACACTCGTTTGAGGGCTCTGTCTTCAGAACTTTACAGGGGATCTTTGAGTACGAGAGGTGGGACTGCGAGGTTTTTCTGTTTAAAGTCCCTGGTTTGCTGCTAATCTTTAGTTCTCTAAGATAGAAGGAAAGAACCACATCACAAATCCCACCTTGTGGATCCTGACACGAATCGGTGTCACGGACAGGATTCTGAGAGACAGAAGGGGTTGCAGGTTTATCGTGCAGTCATTATCAGGGGAAAGACGTTTCGCCTCAGCCGCCCCTAGCCTGCCACGTCAGTGAGCAGTGTCTAGAAAGCAAGGGAGGTGACTCGAATTTGTTAAAAACAGCACATGCCTCAGGGCAAAGCACCCCACACTCGTTTGAGGGCTCTGTCTTCAGAACTTTACAGGGGATCTTTGAGTACGAGAGGTGGGACTGAGTGGTTTTTCTTCTGTTTCAGTCCCTGGTTGGCTGACAAGCTTTTGTAGTCCAAGATGGAATAAAGGAACCACATTGGGAATTCCACCTTGTGCATTGTGACAGTAACTCAGTGCTTTTTTCTTTTCTGTCTTTGCAGGAGTTGGTGTTGCCCCGAGCACGGCAAGGAGCAGAGATGAGCAGGTGAGTTGGCATTTTGAAGTTAAGTTAGAGGAC